ACTACGTCGGGAAATAGAAGCGGGTATGAAAAAGATGAATAAGAACTTGAAAGAGCTTGAAAGGATTGCCCAGGACAGGGTTGGATGGAGAATGCTAATGAGCGGCCTTTGCTCCTTCACGAGGAGTAACAGACGAAAGTATGTAAGTAAGTATAAGCATTTCACTTTCGATTGATGATACATACCACCTATATCTGTCTACATCAATAGCACACACCATAGTCAGACAGCATTGATTTTATGCAACGTTATGATGAAAATATTTTATTTAGAACAATTTATAGAATAATCGTTTATATGGAATTGGACTCATCATAATACTACTTTGTTGAAAGCCAATACTATTTATTTCAAACTTACGATGATTCCCAACAACAAATTCATGAGTTCATCTACAATTTAGTCACCATAAGAAACAAGATTACAATTCAGATGTACCCGGTTTTTGTGGAGAGACTTAAAGGTTCTGGATGTGATTTTTGATGGGGTATTAAATACACATCACTGAAAAATCACATATTGTTGTAAAACATCTGTTTATAGCTCTATGATTTTACAGTGGTTTCCTAGCCTTTAACTTAAAGGTCTAATCTATAAGTCAGTGAAGCAACGCCAGGAGATGCAGTCCCATGTTAGCCGGCGTCCGACAATTGATTCATACGCCATTTGTTTCTTTAGGTCTTGGAGCCTATGCACACCATTGCTTTAGAAACAGGGTTTTCCAACTCTCCGAAGTGAATTCTCGTATTCAAAAAGCTACATTGGAACACTATAATCTTAAAAATTTTATTTTCAATAAATTATTCAAAATTAGTAAATCAAATAACTGCACCATATCATAAGTTAAAAAGAATAGTCGTAAAGTGTCGACGTAAATGTAATTTGTTGTTTTCAAAATAGACTGAAAATTGAAAGAACTTACATTTTATGACAGTTGTTTGTAGGGTTATTATTGTTGCTAAGGTTAAGATGAATATCCCATTTTTTTGTCAGTAACTTCTAAGTAATATTGTAATAGTTTGAAAAATTGTTTATATGGATTAACTGAAATTAAATAATAATAAATCAAGTTACGGAATCGCGTTTTATAAAGAAACTGATTAATTGCTTAACAAAAATGAATGTCATAATCAAAGTATCAGTTAACAATGTAACAAAAGAGTTTTCTTTAAACATTCTAAGAAGAGATAAAGAGTAAAGTATTTCACTTTTCTATTCATTAGTTATTCACTTCTCACAAATCACTGTGAAAAGAATTTTCGTTACAAGTACTTACGGTCATGTACTTTTCTCTCTATCAATGAATTAACTGTTTGATGTTTCTGCATCTTGGTACTGGTGTTCATAGTGAAACTCCAACTCAATACCTACGTCACTACAATTAGCAGGGTTTTATTTAACAGGCTAATGGGCTGACAAGTAACATGTTTATTGCCAACTACTTTTAAGTAGTTATGAACAATTCTTGTGTAAGCATGATGACACATGCCAGCCGAGTTCCATTGCTATCCCCTATCCATATTAAAATTAAATACAGACAATACAAAAATATTCGTTCAGAAAGCTGACTAAGCATCAGGGATCATTCTACTGAGTCTTGAATATCAATACAAAATAAATCATAAATTCATAAAATTAATAATCATTCTTTATAATTAGGTCATTCAAGCCCATAGTGTTAAGTAATAATTCATACTATAATGTCAATTATAAATGAAATTCCTTCAGTTTTGTATAAAGCCAAACTGTTTATTGTAATAATAAAATGAACTGAACAGTAATAATTTGTAAACTTTCATGTGTGAATCAATCGTGCATAAAAATGTTAAATACATATTAATACATTGACCTAATTTAGTATATTTACATATAATTTGAGTTGTACAGTTAGAGTAAGCGCGTGATCAAATGGAAAATTTTATCTATCTTCCCTTCAGTTTACCTTACGGAAAATGAATTGAGTTTGGTGAATCAATCACCTTTAATTGCATATATTGGTTTACATGTATAGCCAAAAGCACGTCCACTGGAGGGATAGAAAGGCCGGTACCAACTCACTTCCATGAATATATATTCATCAGAACCTGCATATCTGAAGACAATACAGTCTTTATAATTTGACAGAATACTAAGGCAATACCTATCTATTACCCATCTTCAACCCTAAAATTTTTCTATATTTTCTCGTAGCATAGTATGTTTATTACACGCGTCTCAATGTAATCTTTACTCATTTCTCCAAACAATAAACAGGAAGAGAGGTATGCTTCCAACTATGTTGTTTTCGTCTCTTATTAGGAGTCACTGTCACTACACCAGATCGTTGGAATTCTACGAAGGCTTTTGAATATATGTTGGGATTCGCATACATAATTACTTCTTTAAAATAAATCTAGAATACTTACTAGTTAAGTTAACGAATCAATCAAAGCTAGATTACCATGAAAAACTTGAAAGTACCGGACGATCGCTTTGTCCCAGTATGAGACTCCTCAACAGTGAGCGTCCACGATCCCGCTTGCGGGATTTGAACCCAGGATCTTCGGTCTCACGTGCGAGCCCTTATCCTCTAGAATAGAAAAACTTGTTGAAAAAGCTGCAATGTTTTAAAATAAATCTTTAAAAAAGAAATTGAAGTTCGTACATCGCTCATAGTAAAATGATATAAAATTTAGATTTTCCTACAGTTATATTAATTAATAAAAGTTATGTTAACAAAAATGTCAATGTGAATTATGAATTATTATCTCATAAAAATCAATAAAAATGTTATTTTATGTCATAAAGAGAGGTATATTACAGAATTAATAATATAAACAACCATTTCATGTTAAACCATAATACTTTATAAGTCTTTTTCTAAGATCACACACAATGAAAATGATCATGTTGAGCGATTGGATCGTTATTAAATAGCCTGTATTTTAAAGTGGTGGTTGCAAGAATTCATCTTTGTATAATCTTATATTGACTATTACATCTAATTACAAATCATTTGAAAGTGAAAATATAGCCCATTATATTTTGCACGCTTATTACAAGATTTGATAGTCGTGAATCCCATTAATCGAAAAGACAGACTTATTCAAAAAAGAAAGGTCTTGTAATTTTATTCTCTATCTCCAAAGTATACTTAATTGCTTCAAGATATCATCTTGTCAAGTTATTCCATAATTCATTGAATTATAAAGTTTTACTCTGAGATAATTATGTATTGTTAGTTTCAGTAAATAACTAACAACTTTTTGTTCGAATAGTGTGAATGTAAATGAATCGTACTGATTCTATTCAAGCAAATTAACTCTCCGTCATTATCCAACGCTTAATAAGTTGCGACACTGAATGTAGATGGTAGAGAAGATTTGTAACTCAGTGTTATAACTTGTCGTTTGAATGCTGCTTGTTATATCTGGTTGTCGCTGATTGTTATGTCTGAAACGCTTATCAATTATACTCAGAACGAGGGACCTCGGGGATTCTCACGACGTGAAAGTAAGAACACAAAGACTGGTATAAGTGAAGGTTTATTAACCCCAAAACACGACGATGACGATTCTAGTAGAAAATACACTCATTTATATATTGATTGTACACCCATTTTAATTAATAATTAACATGAAATCACATATATGAAAAATACTTAGAGTTATAACAAATCACATACTGAGCATAGTTCAGGTCAATGGAATACAAGAATATTGCATATTATACAAAATAAAATGTTAAACGGGAAAATAAAACCGAATACTACACTGAATAATCATTACATTGAATCAAAATGTTGAACAAAACTCATAATCAGTAAGTCAATCAAATGTTGACTTTTCTTTCCATCATATCACCTTCCCTTCTTTTTTTTATTGAAGACTTAAAGTTTAGATCTTGACAGTAAATTTTCTGACTTTATCCTCCTCCACACTACGATTATGATTTTGATGGAGTTTTGTTCTCTGAGAAACCTGTTTACATTATATCTGCCACGTGTTTTGGTCTTATTTTACTGAAACGTCTTTAATTCAACTGATCTTTGTCTTGGAAGTAACTTCTAAATTTCAACTTTGACAATGCATATATCTTAATCTTAATATTCTCCGAAAATTTTGTTTTAAATATAGAAAAAAAAGAATTACTGATTGGATAATATTTATCAATATAGGGTTGTGGAGACTATTAAGTTATTGATTGAGATCATGAATCGATTGATGTTAGACCACTATTGAAAACCTGGAAGCACTGGACGGTCGTTTCGTTTTATTGCGGGACTCCCTAATGGATAATATTTGTTAATGAAAAGATATCATTAATTATTCTAGTAAAAGAAACGACTTATTTTCTTGTCATCATTATTTGAAGACATTCAATAAATAGAATTTCATTAAAAACATTCATTATTTTCTATTTTGATTATATATTTGATAAATTGTTTACATTGAAAATATTTATGGAAAATCTAGACTTTTTTACTTATTTCATCCAGTTGTTCATTATATGTTATATTGGTGAGATTATAATTCATTGGACGAACCAATCAGATTTACGATAACAGGTCTTAGATTTTGGTGCGAAATTTACTCACCAATTTGGCCAAACAGCGTCTTGGCATTTTAGCTGATATGAATTCGTGATGAAAACTATACATCTAATGACTAACCCTAACCGTCAACTGTGAATCATAATCCTTATTCTTTAAACGGCTTTATAATCCTCATTTAGCCCTAGTAAGTAGGTAGACACTCTCAAGGTCACTTTGGCGTCGCTCAAAGGTCGTCCATAAATTATATTCTCACTATTATATTTACCGAATTTATTAGGGAAAATATCTGATTGGTTAGTTTATTCTATTCAAGAAACTATTTAAGTTGTCATTTAACCATAATGATTTAGATAACAAGTGAAATTAATACAGTTGTATAGTATAGTATAAATAAACTAATCAAAGTATAAGACCTTTCTTAATTTGTTCACGATAAATTATTCAACCTAAGTTTATTGTTGTAACAATGATGATAACGATAATGGTGTTTAAATCTATTCATCGTTTAATATTATATTTTGGTAAGTGTATAGTTTGATTTGGTTAGTATTGTAACTCTTTCTTTTCCTTTATGCAAATGTATTTTATTAGGGGAAAAATTGGTAAGTTTATAATTTATAGATGAACCATTGAGATTTAAGATAGCAAGTTTGAGCTGTTAGTACAAAATTAATTTCTCCATACTACTAATTAGCATTTTGGTGTTATAGTTGGTGTTAAAAACCTTAACTGTAGTTCCTAACTTCAGCTTATAAATCTCATACCTAATCGTAATTCTCTACATTAATGTATAAAACTCTTTCGATTTTAATAATAAAGGAAATTTTCTCGAGTTCTTTTTAACGCTTATCTAAGACTGTCAGTAAATTATAAGCTCATTATTATATAAAAGAGTCTAGTAGTTCAAGTTTAAGAAGCGATAGGGGCAAAATCTCCATATGTTTTTTAGCTGAATTTATTCAGTAATGTAAATAATCTACGAAGTTAATAATACTCACTATATTTTGGGAATTGTAGTAAGGCTATTCGAAAACAATGAGCGTGATTCAAGTAATATGGATAGATAGTTTTGCATTATATTCTAAACATTAAAAGCCATAGATTATTTCTGAATCTCTACTGAGATTGATTATAGCTTTATATTAAAATTATTCACTCTGTATATTGTTCGAAATAACTCGTCTCTACATATATCATTATGTGATGGTAAATCTTCCTTGAAGATTATATACTGAACCAATAAGTGTTGGTAAAATTGGTAATTGAAATACGATTCTCACTATTTCAATTGTCTTAACTGTAATTACAATAATAATATTATTATTTTAATCTGTTTGGTATTCACCTATTTGCTAGACTAATGTAACATGGCAACTCTAGTCAACATATTTTTAAGCTAAGCTTTAAGATAATTATATGTTAATGAATGGTCGTAGAATTGAAAATTAGTCTAAAAATAGTATCTCTGATATCAGAACTTCATTATTATTCCTATACAACACTAAGAAACTCTGATAATAAACTTAGAGTATGATTATGATTATTACTATTATTATTATTATGCTAATATCTTTACATCACTCTGTATCAAGCTAAAATAAGTCTTATCAGTATGGGGTTGTGGAGATGATTAAGTTTTTGATTGAGATCATGAACCGATTGATGTTAGATCACCATTGAAAAACTGGTGGTCTAATATCAATCGGTTCAAGACCTCAATAAAATAAGTCTCACTATTTCAGATAGTTTTTGTAAACTAATTGATTGAAAATATAATAAAAAAAAATTGTTTTGACTTCATTTTATTAATGCATTTACTTTTTCAAAAATAATTATAATACTTAAATAGAAAAAACAGTAGGTTGATTTTACTATAGAAGATAAATTTCTCAATATCCATATCAATAATCTTTATTTCATTAAATATTAAAATTTATTGTATTTACACTGTCCTATTTCAGTTATAAAGTAAATTTAATTAAATCTTAGACATTGTTTACTTATTTACTGATACCTTTTATCCCTTACGGAGGAGCATAGACCGCTCACCAGTATTCTCTATCTAACTCTATCCTGGACAATCTTTTCCAATTTCTATTCATCCATTTCATGTCTGCTAACCAGAATAAGCAACACTGCTAAAAAACAGACGCTAACCAAACATTGTTTACTCACAACAAAATGATAAATAATTCCTGAAAACCTTTCATCATAATAATAATACACATATACATGATGTTTAAAACATTATTCGTTACATAGAAATTTTTATTAATTAATAATCTTTAATTTTACTAATGTGATCAAATAAAATAGTTACTGTTTATTATCCTAAACTGATTAGCTGACTACTAACTATGGTTAGATATCATTCAATAATCAGTAACCGAATATGACAATATCATGAACTATAAAGCCTGATTAAACACGGGTTTTTTTATCTTGAAAATGATTAAAATAATAGTTCTTATAGTTTGAATTATTAATAAACAATGTAAATTAAAAAGTTACGAAATACTTGAGGAAATTATTTCGTTTAAATTTCGTATCTATTTGATAGTACTTCTGAATACTTTTGTCTTCTTTCATCTTAAAGCAGTGATATGTCAAACACTCAAGATTAATAGGTATGATGGAATGATTTCGTGAATTGATTGAAGTCAAAGAAATGAACTTAAAATTTTAATTAAGTCATCTTGATGGTAGATTCAATGATTATTGTTTTAATCCCTGTTTACGTTGTACGTATTCATTAGTTCATTGCCCGAAACCAAGATGAAATAACTTTAATGTTTATACATTTTAAACCGTGATTCAATGGAACAAATGTGGAGAAATTCTGATAGTTCACTTATTTTCGAAGTGCGCGTTGAGAACTTTATCAAGAAAAACAAGAAAAGCTCAGAGAATATAATATTTCCAATATAGTTTTTTGTTTTAAGTCGTTTCTTGGCGTACATAATGTACAAAAATAGTATTACAATTTCGGGATAACTAAAACTGGAATTACAAGTAGTAGCGGAATTCATAAAACTCATTTTATATTATCTAAAACTCGTCACTTGGGAGTACCTACATCCTAGTGTTGAAATCTACTCTAGGACTTAAAAGAGAGCTTGAATAGGTGGAAACGCTTGTGCTAGATTTTATGAACATACGCAAATTAAATACCATTCAGGCTGATCATATTTTTAAAAAGCGTGATCAATAACTAAACTTAGAATCAACAAAAGAGAAGTCTAAACTCTTATGTACGAATATATTTAAAATTTCTATTGTTTTTTCACGAACGCGATAAAAAACGGAATACTTAATATATCTTGTGTCCTAACAGAGTAGAAATTAGTGAATCTAATTGGTGATTGAATATACATTAGGAATAATTTAAGCAGTTTGCTTTATTGAGCTCTTAAATTGAAAACCGTTAATATTTACTCACATTCTCCTGATGTAAACTACGAAATTAGCTGAAATAATGCAAGAATTCCAGAAGAATACACACATTAAATGTTAACATTGGTACAGTGATAGTTATTTAATTATCAACAGTAATTAGGTATCTCGTATTGGTTTTCTCTCTATCCCTTAACTAGACATCGATAGTCAGGTAGTAATTACTCCTATATATATTCCCTAAGAATGATTACAGAATCCAAACAAAGTTACAGATAAGATTAAATTAATACAAAATGAATCCAAAACTTTAAAAAAATATATGAGCTAAAATGTTTGAAAAGATGTAATTTACAAACTGTTTTGAATGATTATCAATCACAAAAGTATTCAAAACCATGATCAAAGGTAATAGTATTTAGACTAAGGCACTGTTATCGAAGTATACACTGTAATGGTCACCGATCATGTAAACAAGGAGTTTTCATTAATGGACAGTGCAAGAAAAATGTAGGCTAAGAAACTGACTCAACTGCAACGTCATAAGCATTTTAGAATGATATATATATTTTGTGAAGGATGTATTAGTTAAAAAACGAATATTTTTTTAATTCTTAAAGGTTCCATCTATTTTCTTAGAAAGAAAATAATCCGTTTGTGTAGTCTAATTCTCTTTATGTGATGAAAATGATCAGGCTCTTTTTTCGTTTGAATTACGTTATTATTCATCGGTAGTATCATTAGAAGAATAGCTAATTATTCATTTACGTTTTACTTTAATAATCAATACATGAAAAACTTAGACATGCTATTTTGTTTTAATGTCTATCACTGTATAATATTTGTATATACATATAAACAATGATATTTGAAAATATACAAACTAATGTATATATAGGAAAATGGGCACAGATTCAACAAAGCCAAGCTCTTTATTATTATTATTATTATTATTATTATTATTATTGGGCCTAGTATAACTCATTATAGTAAGATTCATAGAACTAAGTATTACATTATATTGTCACAACTTCATGAGTGCTTGTACAAATATGTATGATAATCCTACTAGACAGGAAAAAAACCAGTCAGTGATACATTTCAATTTAATAATCAAATTAGATTATCCAACATTTATCTAAATTGTTAAAATGATTTCAGGTAACTAAGAGCATCTTAACTACATGTTTTTACTATTCAAAACTAATCTATTATGTCCGTTATAAAGATAACAATAATTTCCGTTAGATTTCACCTGATAACTATATTGATACAATATGAAAACCGATTACTGTATAGCTTTTAATTCTTTGATTAAATAAATTTTTTTTAGAAATAATGTATGATTTTTAAGGATGCAAATTTATTTGTAGGCATTTTTATAATAGAATAAGGAATAGCAAAAAAAGTAGTAACGAAATATAGCTCAAAAGTGACTTCAGTAAAATGAAAATAGTTGAAAAAATAATTAAATCAATAAAATGATAAGAAAAAACTGCCTACTGACACTTTTGTGTACTTTTGATATCGACTTAATCAGTTCTTTTTCAACAGTTGTTATATAATTGGAATCATGAGTCAATTGAAGCTAGACCACCATGAAAAACCTGAAGGCATTGTATAGCTGTTTTTTCCTAGTACGGGACTCCTCAGCAATGCACATCCACGATCCCGCCCCCCGCGGGATTCGAACCCAGGACTTAACAGTTTTCGCGCAAGCGTTTAACCATTAGACTACTGAGGCGGCATATAAATATAAATATATGCGCACTGCTAAGGAGTCTCATAATAATACGAAACGGCCGTTCAGTGCTTTCAGGTTTTACATTTTGGTCTAACTTCAATTGACTGGTGATTTTAACTATTAAATTACAATAATATCCACAAAAAGCCCTTTCTGATATAAATAGAAGTTTTTGTTTATGTACAGAGTTAAAAATTTTGTAGTTGTTGAATCGATCAACAAACAAAAACACTTTTGACTAATACGCTCTATTGTTCAGCTTATGTAATGTACTTCAGAATTATTGTTTTTTATTCAGTACATTTGAATTAACGATTTAATGAAAATATAGTGAATTTTATATATTTAATGGTTAAACGAAATTAGCTCCTAATTAATTTCGAA